TAGTAGAAGAATGATAAGTTATGATACGCAAATGATAGAATAATCTATACTTATAATAAATCTGTAGAGATGTCAATTCTGTACATGAAATATATTTTTAAAAAAACTATCAGGGGGTGATTAGTGATCGATACTGATGCCAAAAATGCAATCAGTAAATTTTTTGTCTGTCTGTCTGTCTGTCTGTGTGTTTGTTCCTTATAGAAACAAAAACTACTCGACGGATTTTAACGAAACTTGGTACAATTATTCTTCATACTCCTGGGCAGGTTATAGTATACTTTTCATCACGCTACAACCAATAGGAGCAGAGTAGTGAAGGGAAATGTTGGGAAAACGGGAGAAATTACTATATTTTTTAAGCTTCCGTCGCGTGTGCAGCCTTAATGATTAAAGTTACATAGAAATCATGTATGACGGAAATATTCTACATAAAATTGTCTAAAAAATATACCGCAACAGCATATGTCTATCTTTTATGGTTGACTCACAATAACACGTGTAACTCCCGATAGCTTAGCAGTTCGGAGCATTCTGATCATATTTGTTTACTCTTACGTTTATAATACTCTGACTCATCCCTAATTTAAAAAAGGTAACATTATTACCTTTTCAATAAAAACAAAACATAGAAATCGGTATAGAAACACCAAACTTATACATGAAATAATGTCGAACGCGCCGTCGCACGTGAATACTGAATCATGCTATAAGGATTATTTTTGTGTAAAAGGCGGGAGGTCCGAGAGCGAGCTGTCTAAATCTGTTTTCTGCGTCGCTCCCCCCCCCCCCCCCCCCCCCCTGGGGGACGATCGCTTCCGATGAAGCCTTAGAGGCCTTCCCGGCCAGAGGCAGCCCCTACGGGTGTTTTTTAGTCAGTACGAGTCTGACATAACCTTGCAGCCGGCTGTAGGGTATCCATGAGGATTTCTCACCTGCTCCCCCGTCTGGCAAGAAACAAAAAAATAAAAAAAAGAGAGCGAGCGAGCTTCAATATTTGGCTGTTGATGAGTTCAGAGCGTTCGACCTTATTAACAGACAATAATTGAGAAATATTGAGAAACCGTGCTTATCAGCGCGACTTTTAGTCTTTAAATAGTTTATTTGAATTTCTTTTGTTGTTATTTTGTAAAATAGGTATTAGTTGTTTTGGTACTGTTGAAATATTCGTTCAAATTAAAAATTATTAAGCGTAGGTACTTTTATTAATTAAAATAGTTATAAGTATTTATTTTTAAGTGAAGTAGGTATAGGTAGATAGATTTGCACAGGCGTTTTAGCTTTATTTTCATTTCTTTTTTGTTGTGAGTTGTATATATTTCTGGTTATAATTCTATAAGAATATTTTAGTTTAAATAGTCACTTAGATTTTAAGTGTTAGGTAGCTAAAGTCAGGACCACGTATTAGTTGTTTTGGTAGTGTTTAAATATTCGTTCAAAGTGTAATTTAATCATATGGGATGAATGTACGATGGCCCATCGAAAAGGAGTAGAAGCGGTAGACAGAACTTAAAGGGATATAAGACAAAATAATCGAGCAATGGGCGGTATCACAGTTTTAGTTTGTGGTGATTTCCGACAAACCTTACCGGTAATACCACGGGGAACCCGAGCTGATGAGGTTAAGGCTTGCCTGAAAAGCTCTTATTTGTGGCGTGATATACATCGGTGCATTTGACTATAAACATGCGAGTGAGAACTGTAGATAACCCGGATGATCGTGAATTTTCTGATATATTATTAAAGAAAATACCTTCAGCAAAGATACCTATCCACTGCTACACCAAGGAAAACTTATTCTGACGCCTGAGTTATGTTGTATAGTGCAATCCCAACAACATCTTACGTCGTCAGTTTACGGTGACGTAACAAATATAAGGACAATTCTTGGCTACGCGAAAGGTCCATTTTAACTCTTCGCAATGACCAGGCATCTGAGATTAATAATAAAATACTGTCGAATATCCAGGGGGAAAGCAAAGTTTATAGTTCAATAAATAGAATGGCCGATGAACAAGAAGCCACTAATTACCCGATAGAATTTTTAAATTCTTTAAATATGCCCGTACTTCCTTCTCATGAAATTTGTTTAAAAATTGGCATTCCGATTATTCTGCTCCGAAATTTAAGACCACCACAACTTTGCAATGAAACTCGGCTTAAAGTAACCCAGTTGCAACAAAATGTAATCGAGGTTCAAATTTCAATAGGTTGCGGTGCAGGAGAAACCATCTTTACTCCCAAAATTCCCATGATACCAAATAATTTTCCATTCTAATTTAAAAGAACGCAATTCCCAGTATCGGTGTGTTATGCAATGACAATAAATAAGGCTCAAGGGCAGACTTTTCGTAATGCTGGAGTAGATCTCGGTGTCAGTTGTTTTTCACATGGTCAGTTATGTCGTTCTTGCCCGGGTTAGTAGTCCTAGAATTTTTTATGTTCACGTGCCGGACGGGTCAACTTTTAACGTACTTTACCCGGAAGCTTTGCGCTGAAGTATTTTCATTCTATATGTACTTAAGCCTCATGTGAAAGCGATCTAAACAATATTACCAATACATTAACATAATAACATACAAGGAGTTACATGCTGATGATCTCGGGGCACAGTGATAATAATAATATTCTGCGGTTCCTTATTGCGATATTTCTAACAGTATTGTGGATTGACATATTATATTTCCCTACTAAAATACGAAAGTTAATCTGTCTGTCGTCACATCAAAACCACGGAACCCTGAGGAAGGACATATGCTACTTTTTTACGAAAAACGACGAAAACGCGGACGAAGTCGCGGGCAAAAGCTAGTTAAAAATAAACTAAATACTGAACCTATCGAAATTTCAATAAGCAAAAACTCATATTCATTAAAAAGCTTTCTAACAAAGCAAGTTTTGTGATTATAGTAATAAAAGTTTTTAAGGAATTTGATTCTTAAGTAAAAAATCGATCATTTGCATTTTTCAAAGACAAAATCTATCGGGAAAGTTTTCGCAAATCATGTTTACGGGCCATTAAAACTTCTGAAGATATACATATATAAAAATCACATGTACAGCATCTTTATAGGAATTCTATTATCAGCGTCAAAAATGATGACTTGTCTACCTACAGCGCCTTTTATATTTATCAACACATGTATGTTGCTTTAAGATTTTGATTTCATTTGTTTTTATTTATGGAAGTGAAGGTCCAAATAATAGCGATTTTTCTTTGAACATACAAGATAGCTATTTATTTAATAATTACTTTCATACATTACGTAAAATTTAGTACTTATATTTTCATGAAAAGATTACTGACTAAAATTTAAATATTAAATAATTAAAAGAAAACATATAAAATTAATGTAAAATAACCGGTTTAGTCAGTGATTAGGAAGTTAAAGTGGATCAGACGGATTTCTAGATTCAATCATTTTTGTTATGCCAACTAACTGCTTTATACATAAGCTCCCAAAACATTTTTTAGAATTCAAATACCGTTTACGAAATATTAAGCTTAAAGTGCAATAAAAAAAATATTAGTCTATATAATGTCAAAACAAGCTATTTAGGCAACTACGGAACCCTACATTGCGCGTAGCCCGACAAGCAGTTGGCCGGTATGGCCGGTAAATCAAAGACTCAGTTTGAAAATCAAAACGCTCTATCATTTGCGATATAATAAACATATTATCATTAAAGGGATTTCAACTAATCCTCGATACCGGAATAATATAGGCATCGTACAATTATAGAAGTTTACACAATAAGCGGTGGTGAGTGGTTATTCAACCAGCCGCATTAAGTTACTAACAAGCCGAAAGGTATCACTTTGATATTCTTATCTAACGTAAAATCCAGCATTAGTAAATAAAGCATGAGTCGTTCTGTCTTTCTTATTAATAATGCCATAAATATCGTAAATATTTATACCTCAGAATATTAGTTTATTTTGAGATTTGCGCCTTGTGGCGTCAGAGTTAACTAGAATAGAAAATTATATGCATTATGCTTTATCTTTTTTTAGTACGATTTAATTTTCTGAGAAAGTGTAGCTATGTATGTATATATATATATATATATATATCAGCTTTGTTACATTACTCGAGTTACTTCATTGTTTTAAATAAGTCTTAAAATTAAAGAGATTAATGATCACAATTTAAATATTACTCATAATAAGGTAACATACTTAAGGTGCCTGCTTCTAACCTGGTTGTTATTTAGGCATGTAAATTTTTCATATTCAGCTTCTTTTAAAATTACTATCAAAAATACGACATCGGTATAAATAAAACATATCTAGCAGGTACCTGAAAATTTAGCAAAAAAACTAAACTAAGAATTACAATAGGTACATAAATCTTAGCCAAAACACTTATTTGAGAATGACCTGCTATCCCATTAATTTCTATTATTTTTTATATATTGTACCTACTTGTTCTGGTTTTTGCTTATACTATACCTATCTGCTATTATCGTTAAAACACTATTCTTTATTAATGTTCACTTTCTCGTAACGGAACTATTATTAATTCATTACCGCTTCATCATTATCGAATGTCATTAGGACATTAAAATATTTGCAACAACACCTGTACATTCAACTACTTAAAATAAATGAGGGTAATTAAAAATACCAATGAATTAGGACTTTAAAGAAAATAGCATCTTATGCAAGTTGACATGAATTCTAAAATAGCGTAACAATATTGGCCTATGGGTATTTTCAATTTGTAATCGTTTGTGATTGTCAAAGACAGACATTGCCAATTGTAAAATATTTATAGTTGAACACACATGGCCTTTGCTATTTATTTGTTGTTAGAAAATTTAATTGTTTTTCAAGATGGCAAAGGCTGAAAATACGATTATACCAGATAGTTTTATAATGGAAAGGAAAAGGCAGAAGCTAGCACTAGCAGTTAAGTTGTGAACAGTGTAGTGTTTTTGTGTATTCGTAACTTTTTGGTGAGGCAGAAAATAATGTCAATTTTGTTCATCTATTACAGGTCTAGACTTCTTGGAACATGGAGCCGATTTCGAGGCGGCTATATCTGCCACTGGTGGGTATGATATTGAAATTATCAAAGTTTGTTTAAACCATAAATCTCTTTGAGTACATTTAAATTGCGTTGCGTTTCTTTCGGTGCGTAAAGTTTTCAGGACTCCATGGTAGAGGATATATTAGGAGTAGGCTGCTAACCATAAGGCGTGCCATACCTTTTAAGAGAGGTAGGGCACAGCGATTTTCCTCTCGAATTGGAACACCCATCTGAGGAAGTAACCTTCACCTTGCAGAAGACATATTACCTTTTGGTGATGTTGTGTTATTGCTGATAAAGACGGTTCCAGGGCTCTCCTCGGCGTAGAGGATTGGGTTCTGGCCGCAAGGTAATGACTGCGGAGCGGCATACCTTCTGCCGTATCATCTATATTCGCGACTGGACCCAGGTGGGGTGGAGCAATTTGTTGCACCTTAATAAATAAATTTTTTTCCACAGTTTTAACTTATACAAGTACAAATCGTGAAAAAAGAAACCTCCGCAGAACATTGCAATTTTATAATGTTTGCAAATATTTATCCATTTAAAAACACTTAGCAGTCTTGTAATCCATTTTTAATTGTTTGAAGCACTAATACAATGGCATTTCCTCTTCCCAGGCTTCGGTCGGTTTCACTTCTGCCTGTTGGCGGTCACGGGGCTGATCTATGCGAATACTGCCATCGGCATCACCATAGTGTCGTTCGTGCTGCCTGCAGCCACGTGCGACTTTCGAATGACCTCTGCTGATAAGGGTTGGCTCACTGCTGCGCCTATGTTGGGTAAGTTTATTACGGTGTCTATATACCCTGTTAAACGCAACCTTCCTCTTTATTTATTTCTTACTTAAGCAGCCATTTAAATGTTTGCCTAAAGCATTACAATTTTAATCCAGTAAAGTAATTATTAGAAGACTTTTTCACTTTTTTGATTAATGATATGCAATACTATATCAAAATAGGTACCATCGTAACCCCATAAATGGTTTCTTTATTTACCTCTTTAAATATACTTTTTAAAACTTGATCGTTGTGGATTTATTTGGACCTTCTAATCTGCCACTGACTAGCCGACGAAATTTATTGGTCCAGCCAATTCTGATCATGTTGGTTCTCCTTGGCAACTCATCACTTTTACAGATGTTCGTATCGTGGAAATTTTATTTACCAACATGACTACCGAAAGCTCATTATGTTCCTGTCATTTACAGGTATGGTTATCGGTTCCTACTTCTGGGGTTGCTTAGCTGACACCAAGGGCCGTAAAATAGTGCTGGTTTCCACACTACTGATCGATGGGTTCATCGGAATCGTCTCTTCCTTCGTCCAAATCTTACCAATCTTCATGGCTTGCCGATTCGTCAACGGTTTTTCGTGAGTATTTACTGTCATAACAATTTGTTTATATACAGGTTTCAATGTTTGTAAAGTTACTTACTTCAAATTTTTTAATGGATCGGCAAAAAACTCTCAACTCCTAATCATGTACCTATAGGCCTAATTTTTACCAATATTTAACCACGTTTACCTTTATTAATACTTAACTATGTTACTCTGTTATGTTATGTTTTTGTAAGAAAATTAACATATCACAAAAGTTTCACGTTCAAAGAACGGCTTACCTTGTGGTGATACACGTGACCACGTAGTAATCTTAGAATTATATTTAAAACTCGACACCATTAGCGACTCTATTCAAAGAGACAGAGAAATCATTATTGGAGATCACATCGAACAATAGTCACAATTGCTTCAAGCGTTGTAATGAAACGCGGTTCCCACATTCACCAATTAAAGATAAATAAGACATAAACGATGTCATCAAGGAGCATTATTTATTTACTCCTAGAACACTTTTTTAATAGTAACCATAGTGCAACACGGATGCGGTGGATAGTAACTAAATTAACTATTCTCTAAATAACAAATGGCAGTAGGACATAATGCAAACGAAAAATGTGCACTTGTAGAATTACATTAGTATATTTTTTTTTTATAATTATGATAGGTATATAATTGAAAATAACAATCATTTGAGAATGACTTTTTAGAAACGAAAACTACTGAAAAGAATTTAAAAATCATATCAATGGTATGGGCGTAAAAGTGTAACATACATGCAGACAAATTTATTTTCCAATTTATAGAATACTAGTGGCTCACCCTCGCTTCGCTTCAGTGTAGAACTGTAGTGTATGTAGACTAAAGTATTTGTTCAAAGACTTGTATTATACACAATGACTTTCTTTACAATAATTATAAACCTTTCATTCCAAGTACTTATTTCAATTTAATTCAATGTTTATTGTTTCACGTGGTAATTACAAGTTCTTAAGATTTAGTTTCAGATTCAAACATGAACCCTGTAAGAGCACTACAATATCAATATACAAAAAAATACACATAATTATAATCATCACAGTAAAATTTTAGATAACAAGTACGGTAACCTTTCATCAAAAAACTCTTGCAAACTATAGATTTTATTAAAAAAAATGTTGCAGAGTTTAGGACCCGTTGTACCGCATGCACCATTGCTCTGCTGTTCCGATTATCTGTGTCTCTGTTATAGTTAGGCATATGGTTTCGTCGACTTTTTTGTAGATATTGATGTCCTCCATAAAAAATTAGTACATCACTTTGCTCTAATGTCATACCTTCCGCAACGTACGCGACATGTTTATTTTTGGTATTTTTTACACACGTTGGGTTACATTATCGAAGTTTTAATACGCAACCCCAACTTTTTTGAAAATACTCTATAGCCTATATTTATCACGTATAATGTGGGTTCTAAATGTGAAAGAAATTTTCGAATCGGTCTAGTAGTTGAGGTGCTTATTCAATAGAAACGAACAAACAAATAAACAAACAATCAAATCTTTCCCTTTTACAATTTTAGTATAGAAGTACTTACCTACTTCTGGATAGTAAGGATGTGCATTAGACGATTATTAAAATATTGATAATTTTTCCATTATTTTTCAGGGTTGCCGGTGCCATGGGTATTTGTTTCCCATACTTGGGAGAGTTTCAACAAACCAAATACAGAGAGAAAATTCTATGCTGGATGGAAATGTTCTGGACTTTAGGCGTCATTTTACTACCACGTAAGTTTGTTTATCTTTTGTTTTTTTTTAGCAAAATCCATTACTCCTGTAAGGATCTTCTCTTTACTTTTCAGTACTATAAAAAACATGACGGTGCATGCAGACTACCTAATTTAAAAATATATAATCTGGACCTTTGTATGCATATAATTATCATTTACACAATTTAACGAAGTTTTGCTATAGAGACTAATTCCCACAATCTCTGACGTCCATATTTTTTCGGTTAAGTTTGAATCACTGTGTTTTCACTTTGTTCAATAGAAGTTCAGCAACTAAACTGAGCTATTTTATTTCTTTTCGCAGTGATAGCTTGGGGCATCATTCCCATTACCGGTATTCGTATTGAAAGCGGTCCGTTCTCTTACGACTCCTGGAACTGGTTCGTCGCCGCTTGCGGCGTGCCGTCCCTGCTGCTTGGTTTCTGGCTCCTGACGTTCCCCGAGAGTCCCAAATTCATGATGGAATGCGGAGACTACGACGACGCCTTGTCGGTCCTAAAAGACATCTACAGACAGAACACCGGCGACGACCCTGACAACTACCCTGTGAGTTTTGCTATATTTACCGATTTCTTGAGGGGTACAGCATGTACCTACTCGAGAAGAGCCTGATGGTACAAATTGTTAGCGCGTTCGCCTGCGATCGCTGAAGTTAAGCAACTTTCGCAGTGGTCGGTCATTGGATGGGTGACCAAAAATTTGCTATCTCGTGCTCCTCCGTGCATCGTAAGGCACGTTAAACCGTTGGTCCCGGCTGCGTCTGCAGTCTTTAGCACCCACCAATCGGCAATGAGCCCGCGTAGTGGGTCGCGGCCCAATCTCCCTATTCCATGACTAGGGAATGCCTGTGCCCCAGCAGTCATCTGCATCAGCCTATTAATGGGACATTGAGATGAATGGTCATTCCATGGAGATGGTATTGCAGTAAAATTGATAATCCTATAAAGACTAATGAAAACATTTTTATTTGCATCGCACTATTCGTCTGTTTTCGCAGAGCAAAGAATCCCAGGGATTTTAAGTCATAAACTCCTCTCGCACACTAATTAACTGAGATCGTATCAACTCAACAGTTCATTCCATATAATTTATCCTTGTTAGGTTATAACGCGGTACAGTCTAATACTTGGTGTAAAGCGTGGATAGCCAAAATGTACTGCTTACTTACCGTAATTCTGAAGACACGTTTTTTATCTCAGCTTTCTTATGTTTCCGTAGTACGATGGACATTAATAAGGTTTTTACGATAGAAAACAGAGAGATCTGGGAGCTATTGTAAAAAATGAAGAAGAAGAAAGCGATAATATAGGTACCTACAAAAAAAACAATAATCCTCAATTACTTGTTAGATATGTTTTTCGCGAAATAAAAACAGTTGATATTGATAGTGTCAATCAAAAGATTAAGAAACATCAATGTACCTATACAGGAAGAAACTATCATTTTTTTATCGATCTCTATCAATTACCTTAGAATAGCAGCCTAGCATAAGCACCGCCACATGATATAACACTCGTTTTTATCACGCCCTATTGTCTAATTACTGTGGAGTTTGACATTTAGACATGATAAAAACGTGATATAATGTAAATTGTGTTATCATGCTACAGGGACTAACCTACCTACTTTAAATACCCGTATCTAAATCTTACGTAGGTAGGTACCTACTTCTCCCAATATTATGAAATGGTAAATGGCCTGAACATGTATAGGTTAATAGGTAAAATGTATTTTTCCCCTTTACAGATTAAAAGTCTGAAGGAGAAAGTGCGAACCGTGTCGGTGGCATCTCAAAACTCACAGAAATCCGTCCGTACCCTTAGCATGCGCAAACGCAAAGACCTCAAGAGATTGTTCAGTGAAATTTGGGCCCAGACTAAGGCGCTCTGCAAGCCCCCCTACCTCAAATATACAATACTCACATGTATCATCCAGTTCGGACTGACCACCAGGTAAATACACTACTCTTTATTAATTACTAGCTTTTGCCCGCGACTTCGTCCGCGTTATCGTCGTTTTTCGTAAAAAAGTAGCATATGTCCTTCCTCAGGGTTCCGTGGTTTTGATGTGACAGACAGATTAACTTTCGTATTTTAGTAGGGAAATATAATACTGTTAAAAATATCGCAATAAGGAACCGCAGAATATTATTATTATCACTGTGCCCCGAGACCATCAGCGTGTAACTCCTTGTATGTTATTATGTTAATGTATTGGTAATATTGTTTAGATCGCTTTCACATGAGTCTTAAGTACATATAGAATGAAAATACTTCAGCGCAAAGCTTCCGGGTAGACTACGTTGAAATTTGACCCGTCCGGAACGTGAACATAAAAAATTCTAGGATTGCTAACCCGGGAAAGACCGACATAACTGATCATGTGAAAAACAACTGACACCGAGATCTACTCCAACAACACGAAAGGTCTGCCCTTGAGCCTTATTTATTGTCATTGCATAACACACCGATACTGGGAATTGCGTTCTTTTAAATTGGAATGGAAAATTATTTGGTATTATGGGAATTCTGGGAATAAAGATGGTTTCTCCTGCACCGCAACCTATTAAAATTTGAGCCTCGATTACATTTTGTTGCAACTGGGTTACTTTAAGCCGAGTTCCATTGCAAATTTGTGGTGGTCTTAAATTTCGGAGCAGAATAATCGGAATGCCAATTTTTAAACAAATTTCATGAGAAGGAAGTACGGGCATATTTAAAGAATTTAAAAATTCTATCGGGTAATTAGTGGCTTCTTGTTCATCGGCCATTCTATTTATTGAACTATAAACTTTGCTTTCCCCCTGGATATTCGACAGTATTTTATTATTAATCTCAGATGCCTGGTCATTGCGAGGAGTTAAAATGGACCTTTCGCATAGCCAAGAATTGTTCTTATTTAATATATTTGTTACGTCACCGTAAACTGGCGATGTAAGATGTTGTTGGGATTGCACTATACAACATAACTCAGGCGTCAGAATAAGTGTTCCTTGGTGTAGCAGTGGATAGGTATCTTTGGTGAAGGTATTTTCTTTAATAATATATCAGAAAATTCACGATCATCCGGGTTATCTACAGTTCCCACTCGCATGTTTATAGTCAAATAAATAGTCAAATGCACCGATTGTATATCACGCCACAAATAAGAGCTTTTCAGGCAAGCCCTAACCTCAGCAGCTCGGGTTCCCCGTGGCATTACCGTCAAGGTTTGTCGGAAATCACCACAAAATAAAACTGTGATACCGCCCATGGGTCGATCATTTTGTCTTATATCTCTTAAAGTTCTGTCTACCGCTTCTACTCCTTTTCGATGGGCCATCGTACATTCATCCTATATGATTAAATTACACTTTGAACGAATATTTAAACACTACCAAAACAACTAATACGTGGTCCTAACTTTAGCTACCTTACACATAAAATCTAAGTGACTATTTGAATTAAAATATTCTTATAGAATTATAATCAGAAATATATACAACTCACAACAAAAAAGAAATGAAAATAAAGCTGAAACGCCTGTGCAATACTATCTACCTATACCTCCTTCACTTAAAAATAAATACTTATAACTACTTTAATTAATAAAAGTACCTACGCTTAATAATTTTTAATTTGAACGAATATTTAAACACTACCAAAACAATATACCTGTTTTACAAAATAACAACAAAAGAAATTCAAATAAACTATTTGAAGACTAAAAGTCGCGCTGATAAGCACGGTTTCGGTCTCCCAGGCGGGGGAGCAGATGAGAAATCTTCATGGATACCCTACAGCCGGCTGCAAGGTTATGTCAGACTCGTACTGACTAAAAAACACCCGTAGGGGCTGCCTCTGGCCGGGAAGGCCTCTAAGGCTTCATCGGAAGCGATCGTCCCCCAGGGGGGGAGCGACGCAGAAAACAGATTTAGACAGCTCGCTCTCGGACCTTTGATACCCTACCGCTGCCGCGACCCGTGTCGAGCGCGGCAACCGTTACACAAAAATAATCCTTATAGCATGATTCAGTATTCACGTGCGACGGTGTGATGGCTTATTTCATGTATAAGTTTGGTGTTTCTATACCGAGTATTATAAACGTAAGAGTAAACAAATATGATCAGAATGCTCCGAACTGCTAAGCTATCAGGAGTTACACGTGTTATTGTGAGTCAACCATAAAAGATAGACATATGCTGTTGCGGGATATTTTTTAGACAATTTTATGTAGAATATTTCCGTCATACATGATTTCTATGTAACTTTAACCATTAAGGCTGCACACGCCACGGAAGCTTAAAAAATGGAGTAACTTCTCCCGTTTTCCCAACATTTCCCTTCACTACTCTGCTCCTATTGATTGTAGCGTGATGAAAAGTATACTATAACCTGCCCAGGAGTATGAAGAATAATTGTACCAAGTTTCGTTAAAATCCGTCGAGTAGTTTTTGTTTCTATAAGGAACAAACACACAGACAGACAGACAGACAGACAAAAATTTTACTGATTGCATTTTTGGCATCAGTATCGATCACTAATCACCCCCTGATAGTTATTTTGAAAATATATTTCATGTACAGAATTGACCTCTCTACAGATTTATTATAAGTATAGATGATAATTGCACGTTTGTTGAACTCATTCAATAATTATATCGTGTCGTGGAACTAATCGAAGGCCAGCATCACTCGGTGGAAGATCACCTATGTAAACAATCTTACGCTTTAATTCTGCGTATTGTGTGGCTATCTTCATCACGTGCAGAAGGCACATGTTAATAAGAGCATAATGTATTTGGATTTTTTTTAATTGCCGATAGCTGTTCATCGGGCTACATTAATATGAGTTATGGATGAGGTTTGATTAGGGATTTTTTTTTCTGAGTTATTCACATATAATGAGAACTACTGTTTTCCTTTATTCAACGGATAATTTGCATTTGATGCACAAATTTCCAGTTTTTTTATTGTACCTGTTAAAAGTTAAAATAACAAGCTTTTATGTGTCTTAGTCTTAGTCTTAGTAGAACGGCGGGCTGTTTCCGCAACTCGACATCTGGTGCCTATTTTGCGTGGGGATTGGCATCAGTCCTGCCATCCCAGCTCCTCCAGAAAGCTCAGCAGTCCCCGAACGTTACTGCAGGCCTCTACTATAGTCTTCGGGCTTCCCATTAGAGAAATCCTTTGTCTTGCAACGCCCGTGCACTCCAGCAGCACATGGGCGCTCGTCTCCTCGTCCTCCAGGCAGGCTCTGCACAGAGGGCAAGCTTTTATGTGTACCTACTTACTTAAACTTGGTAGAGACTTACAAAGTTCACTTGCACATTTGGTAGAATATAAAAAGTGCGGCTTTTATAAAGCTATCACCCCCGCAGCAAAGGTGTTTTACAGTGGGTAGATCCACGGTAAGATCTATGTTGCTGTCGAAAAATTCTGACGCTAGTCCATCCCCTCTAATATTATCCGAAAGTGCCATGTCCGTTCTTTATTGCCTCTCTGCTTTTATCTCGTCCATCCTACAGTTTTTAACTGTGTTCGTTTAACTAGTTTATTAAGCTCTAAAGTGTTTGTTTCCAGTTACTACACTCTCATGATCTGGTTCCCTGAATTGTTCAACCGGTATGAAGAATTCGAGCACCGTTTCCCCAACACATCAGCGTCTGTATGCGATGTGTCCGGCATCGTGGTAGCCGATGGAGAGAATAATGATCCGTACGATTGCCTTAAAACCATCGACCAAAGTGTCTACATGCACACCCTGATCGTCGGTCTTGCCTGCATCCCTACCTCTCTATGGCTTCCCCTCTGTGTCCACAAGCTTGGAGCCAAATTCTTCCTCAGTGAGTATTAACATAAATAATTATTGTATCTGCAACTAATATTTCTGTTATGCAGGGGCATGTAGGAATTGAGCCCGCGTGGTCATTGTCTCTTTTATTCCATCCGTAGGGAAGGCCTATGCCCCAGATATAAGGACATTAATAGGAGGGTAATGATGAAGAAGAAGAAGGAATTAAGTACCCTGTCTTGCCAAATACGTATCACAGTGCAATTTGTTACACAAGGTGCCAATTTCTGAATTAAAGCTAAGATTTATCAGACACATTATAATATTATACATAAACGCTAGTTCAGAAGAGATAAAAGAAAACGCCGGAGACGACTTTATCTCACTTGCGATTAGTTTCAAAAAGATATCACCGCGTTTCAAGTAGATGAGATCATGTTGTTAGTTACACAATATTTCAACTACATATTTGTATGGAATATTTCCAAAAACAAATATGTGGTAGGCATTCAAAAGAATATTCCACCCATCGCAAATGTTTAGTAGGTACCTAAGAATAGGATAAAGATCACTTGGTTATAATAAAAAAAACAACCTACTAGAAAAAAATCCACTGTCCGACTTTGAACGAGTGGAACTTTTCTATTAAAATTTTCTTTAAATTTATTAATGTCTGCTACATGTTTAAATATTAAAGTATAATAACAATCTATTTACCTTACATACTTATCTAAGTTCATACATTTAAAGGACAATCAGTCCTAGTACTTTTACCGCAACAGTTTTCTAATATTGAATTTTGCATGTTTTGCAAATAATAATATTCAAGAGTCTCTTAACAAATTACTTAGGTAGCTAAATACTATAAAAAGCTGCTGAAATCTTCACCCACAAAATAGAGTATACCACTCCACAGAACAACTCCATATTTAGAATTTATTATTTCTCCCCTAAAAAACAATGGAGCTCAATGACTAGGTGCAACTTTCAATGTAAAATTGGTGGCAAACAAGAACTTACAACTTTTGATTTTAGTTTTCAGTTTGGGTTTCGCCGGAGTGGTGACAGTCGGCTTGTACTTCGTGCAGAACTCGACACAGAACCTGGTGCTCTCATGTATCTTTGAAGCCCTCACCTCGCTGGCCATCAGTTTAGTCTTCTGCGTGCTTGTTGATTTGTTCCCCACGAATCTTAGGTAAGAAACAAACTAAATGATCGAATTTAAAAAATAGTAATCTACTGACGTAGATCAGGTAAGTATCTTTTAATCAATAATAGCGTGATCGCTCACCAAGACTTGAGCTCTTCGAGAAGCGATGAGGAGCTCGAAAGCGCAGTATTAGCGCGTTCGGTCTGCGACCGTGGAAGCAACTATTGTAATGGTAGGTCATATAGGATGAGTGATCAAAAGGTCAATGGCGAACTCCCATACAAATTTTTATTTGCGTCTATAAATGAATTGCATGTTAAATTATAGAGTTTATATTATCGATTTGATTCGTCTTATTCCTTTTATTATAGGAAGTCTGGATTAATAGATATTTTACTTTGAAGTTTTGGAGGTTATGTCATACCAAGTAATACATAAACGAACTATAAAAGTATTTTCAAGAGTATTTTTATATCAAAATAAGAAAGACGTGGAACGGAACTATAGAAGTACACCGGTCCCGTAGATTAGTGACGAAAAAAATGTTTTTTATAATGTATGATCAGTGGGCGTATGTACGAGGATCAACCGCGTCAAAATACTTAATAATACTAAACAGACCAGGGTTATTTAGTTCGAACGCAATGTCTGTGCTGTAAGAAGTACTTAACAATTTGAAAATATCCACAGCAATAATAAAGTATAAAAAAGGATTTCTAATAGTGTACCGATGGGATACTAATTAAATATGAAACACTTTTTTATATATTTTTATAACATATCTTTGATCACAATATCGTAGATAGTAGATACAATGAAATAAAATCCACAGTATGAGACAGAATCGTGTCCAAAATCCACAGCAAGAAGTCGTCCGAAATATCAGATTCGGAAGTCTTAGGCAAGCACTACTCAACAGTCGCGGGGAAGATTTCGAGAGTCCAAATGCAGTCCAAGTCACATAAAACACAAATCTCAGAAAAACACAATGCGCCGATTTAAATCGTTGCAATACGCATGCACTTAGGCACAAGCAACGTTATTGTTAACAATAACAACAACAATTCGATGACAAGCATGACAGTGACAGTTTATTTATTTATTTATTTGATCACCAACATAATAAACATTGGCTGAACAATTTAGCAGGTAATGATAAAATACTTAAGCTTAATGTTATTACAATTATAGGTGAACACCACACGTTATGGAATAGAAGCAACAAATGCTGGTAAACTGTCGATGAAAAAGCCTTTAAAAGCTTTCTAAGATTTTAAATATATATATATATATATATAATCAACAATGTCCCGGTTAAAATCAATGCATTATAAGAAGAGTTATAGGTAATCGAATAAAGTCAACTTATATATATAATAAAAAAAATGAATCAAAATTAATTAGTCACAATAAATTACTGATAAAATTTATTAATAGAAATAATAACACAATTAACATCAAATTACAATAAAATTAATTAAAAGGAGATATCACATTAGTTTATTTTTAAAGTTGCGAATATCAATCACCCTTGAATAAGTTCAAATCGTTGCTCTTGCTCATGCTATTCAGCTCTTTGATCATTCTATTTATAGGCGCATTTTGGCCAAGATTAGATCGGCAATAACATTCCACGAAAATTTTAAATCTTGAGGAGCGAGGGAGTTTTGATGGAGCAGAAAATGTCAGAATTTGCACTAACTCTTTTAAATCTTGAGGAGCGAGGGAGTTTTGATGGAGCAGAAAATGTCAGAATTTGCACTAACTCAGGAGTATCCAGGATGGCATTCGCTAGTTATAAAGAAATAACAAGTCCAGCATGCGTCTTCGGTCCGAAAGAGAACAAATTTTAAAATGACTCAGTCTTTCTTCATAATGGAGAAGTGTTCTACCCAGATTACAGTTGTATGTAAAGTGCCATAGAAATCGCTTTTGTATGCCTTCCAATCTCTTTTTATATACTTCATAAAATGGATTCCAGACCACACTGCAGTACTCAAAACCACTGCGTACAAAGGAATTGAACAAAAGAATCTTAGTTTTAGGAGACCTAAAATCCCTACAATTCCGCAAAATGAAACCAAGATTCTTAAACCCTCAAGAGCAAATCCTATCATTATGAATATTAAATTTTAATTTGCTATCCAACCACACTCCCAAGTCTTTCACAATGTCGGTATCCTCCAAAACTTCGCTCGCAATTTTATACCTATAATTAGAGAAGTGCACACAGAAACATTTCGAAGCATTCAAATTCATTTCATTATCTCGACACCATAGTATAGCGTCGGCCGGTGTGTTCATCATTCTATGGATCTTTAAATCGTCTGCAAAAAGAATATAATTCGAATTCCGAAATACCTATATCGTTAATAAAAACGTTATAAAACAAAGGAGCCAAGTGTGATCCCTGAGAAACACCGGAACTAATAGGAAACGGATTCGAAGAGTAACCATTAACTACAACCATGAAGTTCTGTTTGCCAGATATGACTGAAACCAGTCAAGCATGGGTTCGCCAATACCGTAATTACGGAGTTTACGAAGTAATACGTCGTGGCTAACCCGGTCGAAAGCTTTGCTGAAGTCGGTGTAGATTGCATCCACGGATGATCGGTTATCAAGATCACGAGAAATAGTATTTACGAAAAGGGTAAGGTTCGTTGTGGTCGACCTATTAGCCATGAAACCATGTTGCCGCGGATCTATTAGATGTTTAAAGTGCCAGGATAGAATAGGGTTAATTAATTGTTCAAATACCTTAGCGAAAACCGACAGAATTGAAATTGGTCTGTAGTTTTTAACCAGATCTTTATCTCCATCCTTGTGCAATGGCACAACCAATGCAACTTTCCACTCGGACGGGAATGTGCCAGTTGTGAGTGATTTATTGAATATAAGAGTCAAGGGTTTCGCCAAGGCTGCAGCACATCTCACAACAAACAACGAAGGAAGATCATCAGAGCCAGCTCAGTTATAGTTTTTTGCGTTAGACTTGTCGCCATACTCTTTTTGTATTGTATAATATTGAAAAATAATGTTTACCGATATTTTTGATAGATAATTAAATACAGTTTACATATAGGATACGAACAACATATTTAAAGTTGATTTCATCACTAAAATCACTTAAAATAAATGGCTCAAAAGCCATGAAACCTAGCCACAATATAAATAAAAAATAAATAGTCAATTAAGTTTCCTATTTTTAAGTTTTTAATTCCAGACTTAGACAACCCTCCTGAATTGTTTAATAAATCTTTTGAGAATATTTTATTAACATTTCTGATAATGACATCTATAGACGCTAAAGATTTACTTCAACAAATATTTCGCCATTGTAATTTTACGATTTCGAGCTCATCTGTACTTCTGAAGACTCGTTAAGCCGTTGGTTTCGGCTTCATTTGCAATTCTAACACCCACTAGTCTTTAATGGGTCCGCGTGGTGGATATGGTTGCAGGGCCGTAACTAGGGGCAGGATTTTTGGGGCAATACCCTACCTCAAATACCTACTTTAAAACAGGGCTGCAGGCTGTGAAGAAGGCACGGTCCTGCATGGTTGGCATGCTAAGTGGTTGACCCGTTATCCCTATTCTATTCACAGGGATGACCAGTGCCTAGCAGGGGGGTAATTAACAGGTTGATCATGATGATTTTGTTATCCAGGGTAATGGCTGCCGCGCTCTCGCTGACTGCCGGTCGAGGCGGCGGTCTCATCGGCAACCTGTCCTTCGGCTACCTCATCGACATCAACTGTATCGTGCCAATCGTCGTCTTCTCGGCATTCCTATTCAGTGAGTATTTCAACACTTTAAGAATTACTGTTCAGTGAGAATACTTACATTATTACAAAGAGATACCGAACATTACCTAGTGATGCAGCAGACTTTTGCTTCCACAGCTGTGAAAATTTGTTTTTCCGCAACTTTTTTATCGGAATTTGTTGGTACCTAACACACATTTCTTTCGTCTGTATCGTCGTCGAATCGCATGATTCGGTAGATCGTGAAAATCCTAGGCTACATCATAAAATTCATTATTGACTTGTCACCAATTGGTATCTACTAGCTTTGAGCACTTGTTTGATTTGACCATGGCCTAAACACCTAACCGAACCTGTAGGTACTTATTAGTACATTTTGCTATTCTTTATCCGCAGTCCAACAAATAAGGCAAAAAAAGGCATTCAAATTGTAAAACTTATTCGTGTTTTTTTACAGTTGCTGCTATACTGTGCTTCTTCTTGCCAAAGACAGGACAAGAAGCCCTAGACTAAACCGGAGCCAAACTCTAGATAGTGCAATTAGACTGTACTTATGCATTGCGTAGTAAGAATTTTCGATGTGGTTGTACATATCACTTATGATGTAAATATTGAGGACTAAGTATTTATTGATGTGAAAGAATCGGGCCACTGCGGAGGCGCAGACCAATGAACTATAATGTTAGATTATATTTTTCAGTATCCTGTTGTGCGAATATGGTGCTATTATCCCTAATATGCCCTTCTTATGCCGGGTATTGTGATTCAGTACTACATACTTATATAATTCTAAGAAAGATTTAAACATAGCAGTATTTTTAGAGTTGACTGTGTAATTATTGTGCTAATGCCTTAAATTATTATTATAATTAATATTAAAGGTTGACTATTTGCCTTATTCATTGGGTGTTTTATTTATTCATACATAGATCAAATTGTCGAATATTTCTGAATACAAACAAATACAAACTTTATCACAAAATAAAGCATTTTTAAGTTATCTGCTCTTTATTTTTTAGGTTTGTAACCAGGTAGCCTAACTATAAGAAAGTTCCAGTTAACTTATGAATAAATAAATAAATATTTCCAACACTCACACCAATTACCCTAGCCCCAAAGTAAGCACTGTATAGGCTTGTGTTATGGGATACTAGGGTAACGGATAGAATACATAATCTTAATATATATAAATCTCGTGTCACAATGTTTGTCCTCAATAGACTCCTAAACCACTGAACCGATTATAATAAAATTCGCACACCATGTGCAGTTCGATCCAACTTGAGAGATAGGATAGTTTAAATCTCAAATTATAGTCGCAATTTTAATTTATTGCAAATTATTACTTTTGGGCGGTACGAAGTTCGCCGAGTCAGCTAGTATACTATATATATTTATTTATGTACAAATACATATTAAACATCCATGACTGGCAGAACCGTCTTTCCTAGTGGGCACTTTGGGCAAGTGCCCAGGGCCCCGCGATCGACAGAGGGCCCCCTCGGATCAAATACAAAGTCCCTAGTTCCTGTTAAATCACCAAACGGAAGTCATAGGGACCCCCCATTATCCTAAAATGTCCAGGGCCTCCAATAGGTCAAAGACGGCACTGATGACTGGAGAACAAATGCTCGTATTCATCACACAAACATGTCCCTCACTGGGATTCGAACCCGGGATCTCTCGAATAGGCGACACCTTGAAACCCGGGGTACAAACCACTCGGCAAGAGGTTTTCAAAGGTATTAATAACTAGCTGTGCCCCCGTGGTTTTACCCGCGGTTTATTAGGGATATTTTCCCGCAGTAAAACGAAGCCTATTTGTTAATCAAGGGTGTCAGCTAACTCCATACCAAATTTTATTAATATCGCTCCAGCCGTTTAGACGTGAAGAAGTAACAAACACACACTCACACACTTTCGCCTTTATAATATTAGTGTGACTAGTGGTAGTAGTCGCTTCGGTGAAGAGCTGTAGTGTATAGTATTTGTTCGCAGGCTTGTATTATACACACTTGATATAATTCTTATAAATCTTTCGTGAAAATTTATTTCTGATAGTGAAAATTTTGTTTGTTTTTCAATAAATAATTAAAATCAGTGCATCTAACCTGTTGAAACTTGTTTTATTTAATTTTGTTGCGTAGTTTAGGGCCCGTTTTGTGCAGAATGCACCATTGCTCTGCTGTTAAAAAAAGTTGGGCCCCCTTACTTAACTTGGGAATGGTTTAATCCAAATAGTTATTTCAAAATTTTTATTCTAGCCTATATCGGGTACTTGCCTGATAGTCTTGAATAAGAAGAGATGTTTTCGGATAAGAATACATACCCGGGCACGAACAATGTGGCCTAGTTTGTATATTATAAAGCTGGATAGTTTATTTATTTGATTCGTTTTTTTGGTTGAACGTCCGTATCTCAGAAACTGGTTAGATTTGAAAAAAAAATTGTGTTGGATAGTGCATTTATCAAGAAAGGCTAGGATATATATTATCACGCTTCAACCAGTAGGAGCGGAGCATCAATGAAAAATGTTGCAAAAACCGGTAAAAATATTTAATTTGTGAGCTTTCGTTGCGTGCGCTGGTTAAACGGTTAAAGTTACACAAAAATCATGTATGACGGAATTATTCCCCTTTAAAAGTTCGATACATAAAATACGCGACTTCGCGACGCAGCATCTTTTAATTTTGACTCACTATAATCTTTTTCCTCTAATTAACGCGGGTGAAACCGCAGGGGACCTCTGATTGTACCATAACTGTAATAGTTAGAAATATGGTATCGCAGACATTTTTGTAGATATTGATGTCATTTATAAAAAGTTAGTACCAACATCACTTTGCTCTATTGTCAGTAACTTCCGCAGCGTACGCAATATAAGTTTATTTTTTGGATTTATTTCCCACATTGGGTTATATTATCGAAGAATTCATACGTAACCCTAACTTTTTTTTTATATTCTATAGCCTATGTTCATCGGAGATAATGTAGGCTTCTAATTCTAAATGTGAAAGAATTTACCAAATCGGTCAAGTAGTTTCGGAGCCTATTAATTACAAATAAACAAACAAATCTTTCCTATTTATAATATTAGTATAGATTATCACAGTAATTATCATATTTTATGAAAATGTAGGTTGCTCAACCTTTCGATTATTTTTTGGATACGTTTTGACTCAAATCCTAAAAAATGTTGTGTCACAAGTGTACATTTTACAATCAATAATTGAAAAAATATTATCCCATTTACATTTATTTTTAAACTTTTGAAATAGTTACCCTACTTGTAGTAGGTAGAGTCTATATCTCCCCAACTCTATTCTTATACTTCTATGGTGTAGGCACCTCAGATACTCTCATCAGAATCATTAATCTGACCTACACGCTACTATACATTGGCAACGGGTAGCTCTCATCCTCTCACTAAAACCTACATGAGATTTTATATAAAAAAAAAATTGCTAGACCGTCACATGGCTATTCGATTTTGACAGCAGCATATACTTATTTCAGCTTTATAGCAGGGTTTCGACTCTAGAGGCATTCGCAGAGGTAGGGGAGGGTGAGTGGGAAAGGGGGGAGGGGGTGAAAATCGTAATTGTATTGTCAGATTTTAAAATACGCCCCTGTTGACATGAGACCGTCAATTAGCAAATATTTTGCGATTCAAAGTTCATTACGGTTGTGTTGTTAGAGCACAGTAAACGAAATTTCAGTACACGCGAGGTTGTTTTGTTGACTGAATTTGCGCATAGATAAGATCGTGGCTAAATCTCAACCGCCATAAAGTTGGAATCGCACTATACGATGCCATGTGAAGTATATTTAAGAGAGGTAGGGCATACCAGAAATAAAACATTGTTTTATGAAACATACAACTTATTAAATATAATTAAATTACATTAGAATATGAAATTAATGCAACAATTTTACGAAGATACATAAATTTAACAATATTTTTAAAATTAACACGAGTGGAAAGCAGAACAACCATTTATTATTCCTTACATTTTCTCGAATACCAATCTAATAGTTTATACTATTTGTTTTGGAATTGCAATATTCAAAAACTTAATTTATAATGTTACAGATTTTGTTCTGATAAGTGGTTTATATATTATGTAATTATATTTACATGTATTATTTAATTTAAAAAAGATGATTGATAATTTCTTTTTTAAACAAGCAAACCTGCTTCCTGTTGCATGTTTTAACAATGATGTCGAGTTGTTTTGCCTGTTTAGGTCCAGCCCATTATGGAAAGATTCCTAATTCCTTGTAACATTTTCACGGTACTTTGTTTTCGGTTTGGAATAATATGTTTACATCACATTTATCTAGGGCGACAGAGCCACTGAGAACATTATCCATCAAATGTACTAGCAATAGTCTAGTTCAAGGAGAAAGTTCGCTCTGGCAACAATAATGTCCACTAAAATGGGACGAAGATATTGTGGCGCGTGGCCGAAATGGGAACTAATTTTAGAAAGATAAAATTATCCTTTTTTAGTTTTATAAGAAGGTAAGCCTTTTATATTTCCTATTATTATTTCCGAGTTGTCAAATCTATACATTCTATACATATAAATAAAATTGGAGTGCCTGTTTGTAATATTTAAATGACCGCTTTTCACTACATGCATATGAATATATATACGACACATACACCAAAATAACATTTTTTACAAATTTTTTAATCGGCTAATCTCTAATATGGCTAGACCGATTTTGACGGGACTTTTTTGGCAGGTAGCTGATGTAATAAAGAGTAACTTAGGCTACTTTTATTTTAGAAAAACACTTTTATTTTAACACTTTTTAACGCGGACGAAGTTGCGGGCGGCCGCTAGTTATAAATAAGTGAGGAGTATTTTATCCTTATTTCACCAGCAACGCCCCCCTGTCAATGTCTCAAAAGTGCAATAAGATCTTGGTTCAACTGTATTATCAGATCTCAATATAATTTCTTTAATAATGGTACTTACAGAAAAAAATGCAGTAATTCGAAATGATAAGTGAAAATGCGATGTTTTTCATAAAAAGAATAACAAATTGTTGGTAAATTGGTAAGCTCTCACCTTCGCTCACTATTTATAAATACATATATAAGGTGAAATATTTCACCTTATATTAAGATAGTTCATAAGCCTGATCACATTTCAACACATTAAGAGATAATGGCATAAAACTATTTGCATGGGCGATACATATTTTGAATCAAGTGCAGAATGTTTTTAAATATTTTATGCACCTAAACAACATGTCCATTTATCATTAATTAATAACATATTATTATGATACAGTTTAATTTTGTGATCTTATTTCAGGCTATTCTGGGAAAATATAACAATATCAAAACACCAGTATCCACATAATATCATACTTTAAAATTCCTTAAACTGTACAGCAGCGCCACCTATGGGGTTGATTTGTAAGTGAAGGTTAAAATTTTCTCAAGTTTTCTAATTTCTGCTAAATTTTCATTTTTTTTTTTTGCTTTCTGTAAGAACCTTCTACAAATTGTTAGAAAACTTTCATGAAAAGATCGGTGAAATCAGCTGTCATGCTAAAGTTATAGTTTGATCAAGAAAAATAGAATCCCTATTACCAGTGGTCATTCTATAACTTTATAAGTAATATAGAAATATATTTGTTAGTTACTTTTTATTAAGTAGGCAACTCCTAATCCAATAAGATCCTAGACAGGTGGTACATATAACACCTAAACATATAAAAGAGTTCAATAATTTTTCGGTTTAAACAATTTACACATTTTTTTTACTCTACAATACAGAGCCATAATTTTTTACCGTTTTTTACTTATTAAGCAATGTTTTGTGGATACCAGCAAACTTTGAAATGTTCATCACCCTGAAGCCTATCAGCGAGAAGTCTGAGCAGCACTAGGTACCTGAGGCAGGCCAAACTCATCGACGGGCACCCCGTCCTTGTAACGGATGCTGTCTGCTCCTGGTTCCTTATCAGGGGCCGCTGGGGCTTTCACAACGTCATCTAAGTATGAGGAATCATCATCCAGAGCAAACTCGTCACCTGAATTTTACAAACAAATATTTATGATGTTTTAAATTAAATTGATAGGTATAACAATTATTACATTCAACTTATAACAAAGATGCAGCAAGGATAGTAAGTGCATGTAAATTTATTATAACAAGGAATTTATCTGGTAAGAGAAATATACCATTTTATAAAAAAAAATTCAACAGGTTATATGCACTGAATTTATTTATTTATTGACGTATCGCATCCTTTGCAGGAATGTGCCATCAGAATAATGTTTCTTTTTTACTTTGACGAGCTATTCCATTATGTAAATTTCAGGTAGCATCGCACCTGTGTACGGCTTATCGTGTTTTGTTAGATATTGGCGGGTAAACGTTATAACATTTATACAATTACCTTATTACTTGTAATATTTAATGAGCTATGGAAATTGTTGTGTATTGTATATTTGCACTGTTATGTTTTATTATGCCGAGAACTGGAAAAGTGTGCCATATCTAAATATAAGCTCAAAAAAATTGCTACAGGAGGTAAGAATATTTTGTTACAAATGCTTTAAATTAAAAATATTGATTTGATATCTGTACAAAAACAAACTATGCTTCACCATATAATTGGTCTTTTTCACTTTCTTAATATAAGATGCTTATAAAACACATACCCAGAGCATCTAATTCAGCAGCCAGCTCATCGTCATCAATCTCTGGCATACCATATTGCCTGCCCAGGGCTTCTTGCACTTCATCTGCTTGCTCTAACATATCTGCCAAGTCATCATTTACATCCTAGAACAAAGTAAAACAACTATTATTGGTCTAATGCTGGCACTTCACCTGGCTATTCATGTTTGCCAATTTGTAAACTTAGATCAGTCTATCCTTTTCATTCCTTATATGCAAGGCAACATTATTTGCATAACTTCAGCTCTTCTGAATTGCGTTACAGTAGCTCCTTTAACAGTGAGGGATATTACACTAGCATAGCTTATATTGGCCTAACCCCCTACACCATGGAGCTTCAAATCATAATATACAATGGAATATGTAATAGAAAACCTCAATTGAATCAATATTGATTTTCTTGAACTCTTTCTTCATCTGTGTTACTCCATCCTTCATGGCTGCAATGGTGTGGTGAGTGTCCTTCAGTGTTTGTGTAGCATAATTAGCCTGCTCCATGTTAAAGGACTGGGCTCTTAGACCATCAAGCTGTTGTTCATACCTGTAAAGAAAATTAAGAAATAATGTAATCTTTAATATTGTCAATGTTAAAGTTAACTTGCACACATTACATATTCATTTTTTTTATTTATGAGGACAACCAACAGGACAATCACTTTACACAATTCATACATTAAAATTATGACATATATAACATTTCAAGTGATGCCTTAAAGGGGGGCCAGGGGTGCTCAAACTTGAACCAGTAGATCGACCATTTGAGCACCCCTGCCTTAAAGGAAGCCACAATGTCCATTAATGGATGCGTAATATAATAATATTTAACAGTAATTTCATCAAGAAGAATATCACACAGAGTTGGAGTTAAAATAATGTAACATGTTTAAAAATAGTTTGGTGACCCATAACAACTGCACAACCCAGTAGGGCTATATCCTCTCTTGTGTTGATGGTCATGCGCCGTTCGCACCGACAATGTTGGACTCCTTTAAGGGGCCTCCCGCTGAGTGGGAACGATTGCATTGTTTCGCCGATATCTCTGTTATTTTGTATGAATACCCTATACAAACTATATATATTTGGATTCTCCATAAAATTTACTATAAAACAGTGTGTACACAATGTGTCATGTCTATAATCTATTTCAATTACGTTATGGTAAACTCGGGTAAGATAAAAAAAAAGGGGTTCAGATGGGTAAAATGGAGTATATCTTCAAAATTTTAAAATTTCATGTCCAGGTTTTTTGGTTCTTTGCACATTCTATTATAACTTACCAAATAAAATCATAAAATACCATACTCCCACAATTTAATTTTACACTATAGCTCTACAATCCGTGCGCCAGATGCGTAAACAATCATGCGTTGGGTCTGAGTGGCTGTTTATTTATGTTATGCCATTAGCTCGGATTGTTATGATAACATTACAACCAAGATAGTAATGAATAATGTTTGTCCATTTTAAAGTTTCAAGATTTTACAATAAGGCATTTAAAAATCGCCTACAAATCAGTCATCTCAGTTTTATACATATACACAGCATATTTTTTTTCATACAAAAAACGGCGAATGACGAACTTCCACAGACAACAGTATGAATATTTCATATGGCAGTTGACTTAATCAATGGCTAGATAGCTAGCCTGTTCTTTTCTCTACATATTGATATATGAATGTAGGTGATAGCAAAAGGAATGAATCTTATATTTTCCATAGTATAAGTGGGGTCGCGAGTGACCGAAAGTCGGTCGCTCAACATTATAACGATTTTTGACAGAGACCGAAAGTCGGTCGCTCAACACAATAGAGGATATAATACATTTATCTTGGGATTGTGGTAAACTCACTAAAGAAGCTGTCTTGGTGTCGACACACAATTACTATTATGACTTGCTTGATAGCAAGTCATAATAGTTGAAAAAGGTTCCTGGTTTGCCAAAAAGATTAACATCTGTACCTTTAGAGGTTCTGTTCAACAGAACAGAACAGTCTCTGTATAAAGTCAATGGTAAGAAATGACCCAAATTACTTTAGAAAAGTTTTACTTTTAATAAATTACAATTAGACATTCAAAAAACAATATATCTTATGTAGGTGCTCAACTAGTTTTCTTTGCTTATGGAGGCAATGAAAATTAGGATAAATATTTTTCAACCAAAGACAAGGTTGTCCAGAAGTAAAAACGTAGATGGTGGAGATTGTATATTTACAGATCACCAATAGCAATGAAATATATAAGTCCTCTCAATAAAAGAAACTTATAGGGAGAAGATAATAGAGAAAGAGAAGAATTAATTGGTGTGAGTGTTGGAAATATTTAATTTAATTTCCTTAAAATTTTAATTATTATTGGTAAATACTACTAAAGGAGAAGAAGATTAATTTAGTTAGACCCAGCAAACTTCTTTAGCTTAAACCATGGACTCGCGCAATAGAAATTTTACATTCAAATTACATTCAAAAACGACTACTCCGCAAATTTTATGTCTGTTGTTTTGCTCAAAAAGATTAGCAGATTATGCCAGTCTTTGTTTTGAAATTAGATAAATGTAGATAATTACAAACCAGACATGTTAATAGTTAAATAGAATATTAATGCTTGCTTACTGCTTCTTCTGTTTTAAAACTCGCATTGCTTTTTGTTTGACAGAATTCTTTGCTGGACCTTCCCTCATTTTGTTCATTTGATCTTTGTATTTACGAAGTTCTGTGTCCAATTTCTGGACTTTTTGTTCGATATTATCTGCTCTCGCATCTACCTAAAAAAATCAAGATGATCGAAGTAAATGTATGTAGCAACAAAGATTACAATAATCTTGGTTCTATGCAATGAATGAATCATCGCCAGTAGTTTTTTGTACTTACATTGCTAATGCAATCAGTGATACTTGGGCCTGGTTCTTTGGGTTTTCCTCTACCAAATAATCTGTTCATTTTCGAGACTTATGTCCTGACGATCGAAGAATAAAAATAAAAATTAGTGTTTCTTTTAGTGCAAATTATTTTGCAAAAACTCAAAAATTGACTTGACCATAGATTTTTTTTTAAATATTCTCCCTTTTTATTAATGAAGGTAAGGGGAACTAAAGCCCATACAGCCTCGTCTTTAGTTTGTTTATTTTATATTGAAGAATAATTATATATATATTTTAAAGAACGCAACTAAAAGACCGTTGGCTGCTGCCACTATGGCTACCCTGCTGAAACTACACTGTTTATTCCTCGCGCTTGTTTTCTGAGTCTGAATCTGAATCTGCGTGCACTGTGGCCGTACCCTAAGAAAGATCTGGCCTTAGGGTACGGTCACGGTGCACGCAGGTTATGACTCAGAAAACAAGCGCCAGAAATAAACAGTGTAGTTTAAGCAGGGTGGAGTCAGGCATTTTACCGGAATGTTTAGGTCATTCTTGTTTCAGATTCTGAATTCACCAGCGCCGCTCGGACTGCAGGTAGGGTTTGAAGGATGCGGAATGCATTTTCCAGACAAAAAAAAAAAAAAAAAAGGGTTGCCAAACCTACTACAAAATATAGTATCCTACTATATTAGGGGAGCAAATACAGTGAAATTACAGTAAAAGCTTTCTTAAAAAATATTAGTGATTGTGATATTAGTAAGGCAAAGAGCAGCAAAAATATATTTATTTCAAACAAAAAAGTTAATATTATAACCACATATTATGTAGTTACTATATTTTTTTCTATTTTTTTGCCAGCTACTATATTTTTAGAAGTAACGCTTCGATAATTGCTAACTTAAATTCCTGAAGTTGGTAACCTTAACTGCAGATTATAATGCGATTCAAATAAGAATAAGAAATCCAATGACCTCTATCTGTCAAATGTCGCTTGAAAAGTACAGTTTACAAAAAAAATCTTGAAACCCCTTTTCAGCACTCCGCTAATTCAAAAATAAAAACCAAACATTTGTAAACAAACAATAAGAAATATTGATAATTAATATCGGTTGATATTTTTTTTTTCACTTTTTGACCTTTGGCCATGAATGGTTGATAACCTAAATCGTCAAACAAATCTAGACCTTAGAAGCATTATGGTCGATGTTGATTTTGCCAACTTTACAGGACAGAATAAAATAAAAATTCAATTTTATCGGCAAATATTTCAATAAGTACAAACAATATGTTAATGTTTTCTTTGCATTTACTTAGCTAAATAAGTAGCTTAACTAGCTTTATAATTAAAATTTAAAACTATGTTTCTAAACAGTGAAAAATTAACGTTTTTTAAAAAAAATATGACAACCGCCGTTATGCCACTAAAATTATTCAATGTATTTGTTCAACTGATTAGTATGTGCCGATACGGCTTTATGCCTCCAATTTTAGTAATTTAATGTGAGGTGTTTGTCCAAATGCGACTTTATTGTGCTCATTTATTAACTGTGGTCCTTTAGGCAAAAAGTCGGACATCTCTTAACAAAAAAAACTATTCCATGAATAAACGATAATTATTAATTTAATAATATATAGAGAGAAAATTAAAATATTTAATAATTCATCTATTTACTGGCGTATAACACACGGCGTCAAAAAAATTGCACCTTTAAAAATTCTTAAACCTTATTTAGAGAATAGTGTGGTGTATCATTAGAAAGGTAACAAAAAGGAGTATCCAAAAACCATTAAATTCAACTTTTTATTTAATTAAAATTATACAAACAACATTAAAATGAAAAAAATAAATAAAAATCATTAATTAAGTCCTTATTAATAACAGATAATTTACTGGGCAGCATTTCATAAGCTTCGTCAAGTCTTCTCGTCACCCATCCCTCAATGTCTCAAGTCGAAAGTCTTCGACCAGTGCGTCCTCCCAGTTATGACATACGGCGCTGAGACGTGGACACTCACGGCTGGACTGGTCCACCAGTTTAAAGTCGCTCAGAGAGCTATGGTAAGGGCTATGCTCGGAGTATCCCTGATGGACCGCATCAGAAATGATGTAATCCGACAGAGAACCGGAGTCACCGACATAGCCCACCAAATTAGCAAACTGAAGTGGCAGTGGGCTGGTCACATTCAAAGTTCTTGAGTGGAGACCGCGACTCGGTAAACGTAGTGTGGGACGCCCTGAGACAAGATGGGATGATGACATTCGTAGGCTGGCTGGCGTGAGCTGGATGAGAGGGGGAGACCTATGTCCAGCAGTGGACGAGCATGGGTCGATGATTATGATGATGATGAATTCACAAAGAAAAATATACAAAAAGTATCTTAAAATTAACTAAAGATCTAGTGTTACCCCCCTATCCCCCTACCCCCGATCTAGTGTAAGAATGGGCTAGGGGGTAGAATCGAAGAAGCTGGATCCCGAGATCGAACCTTGCGTTTAAGATGATCCCAGAGGTGCTCTATCGGATTCAGGTCCGGACTTCTCGCTGGCCACTGCATCACAGAGATTTGGGACCTCTGTAAGAAGTCACTCAGGATAGCTGCAGTGTCGGCGCGGGCGTTGTCATGCATTAATGTGAACCCCTCGCCAAAAGATTCAGCAAAGGGGATCACATGCACTTCTAGGATCTCTGTGACATAGCTTTCTTCTAACCATAGAGACGCTCACGGTTCGTCTACGAACTGCCTGAAGCTGCTGTTGCAACTCAACAGAGTTAGAGAGACGATTTCTCAGAGTTCGACAAAGACGACCTGTTCAACGGTCGTCTCTTTCTGAAGTGCAGCGACGACCAGTCTCTATGAAGCGCTGGTATACTCTTCGAACGGAAAAACGGTTCAGGTTCAGTTGCCGGGCAACATCACACTGCCGCATCCCTGATTGCCGTAGTGCAAATACTTGAGCGGCTTCATCAGCTGTGGTATCCACCTTCGAGGTGATTTTTCTTCAGTAAAATCTGTGCGTTGACTCTGTGTGGACCGTTTTATACCCACACTTCTTCTTCCTCGTAACCTCATGACTGAGGGTCACGACAGCATGAGGGCACCCAGTGTACCAGCTCCCTCCACGTATTGCGGTTTTCGGCCAACCGGATAGATGTCTGAATGTCAGTTTGTGCAGACTTCTTTGACCGCATCAGTCCATCGGGCGGGTGATTTTCCGCGGCTCCTTTTTCCTTCCACATGACCTACGACGATGAGCTTTTCAAGATTGTCTGGTTCTCGTCGGGCCACGTGTCCGAAGTACTGAAGAAGTCGCTGCATACATACAGTAGACAGGCGGGATACCCACACAAGGAAACGCAATAAGCGACTCTCATGGTAGCAAAATTTGCATCTAATTTTTGTAACACATTATTTGTTGCACTAGGTTTTATTTGATAATGAAAAGTAATGTATTTTATTAAGTCAATTAAGTAACCTTTTTAAATAAAATCATTATTATTGTGACTACATGTGCATATTAAAAGTTAATGACATTTGAAAATGATTACTAAGAGGTGCAATTTTTTTGAAGCCGAGTGTATATTAATTAGTCATTTGCTGGAAAGTTGGGAATATTTCCGTTATGAGCAAGATTTCTATAGTAGACATGAAACACCATAGGAACTCATTTAGATACGATATGATCTTAATATATATAAATCTCGTGTCACAATGTTTGTCCTCAATGGACTCCTAAACCACTGAACCGATTATAATAAAATTCGCACACCATGTGCAGTTCGATCCAACTTAAGAGATAGGATAGTTTAAATCTCAAATTATAGTCGCAATTTTAATTTATTGCAAATTATTACTTTTGGGCGGTACGAAGTTCGCCGAGTCACCTAGTATATTATATATTTATGCAGACATACGATCGCGCAACGACCAATCACAACGTATCTCATTACACTTAAACTAATTTAGTGTTAGTCATTGGACATGCCGTGGCCGATAATGCCCAATGTCGCTAATTTTATGGCGCCATATTTTCAATAGTTCACATCCATAACTATTTATTTTTACATTGGCCCACCAATGCATTTACAAAGTTACTAAAACAAAAGGCATAAAGTCGTATATCTACAACCGTGTTAAAGTTATTAAAGGAATCTTAGATGCATAATATCGGAACTTTAGTTACGATGAATATTTTAAATCACTGTTTGAACCATAAAGGCGTGACTCCTTTTACGTAGCCTTGGTGCGAATATTTTTTTTTGCATAAGGGCCAAATTTTCAATCCACCAAAAGAAAAATAGAGCAATGTAGACGCAGAGAGATGGAAGTGAAAATGAAACCTTAAGGTTTTAATGATTTTAGAAAAGCTGTAAGAACCGACATTATGCACGGAATTATCTCAGCCCAGAAAAGGGATAGAAATACAGCTCCTAGTGCTATGGAAAGAGAAAGAGGCGCTTTTCATTGTTATTCAATAAAAATAAATTGCCCGACCTGCACATCCGCCCATATGCATCTAAGCTCCAGAAATATCACTTTAAGTTGCGTTCAGAAACTGGATTTCAAACTTTCGTTTACATAAAGGATGCATGTTCGTATGTGACCTAGTAATAGTGTATGATTATTCATAACTACTCCGGCGTTAATGCAGAAATGAGCGGAATAGAAGAGCTAGATTCTGATTAATGTTTTTTCTAACAGTCTTAATAAATAAATATTATTAAAAATCGGTGGTTTTTTTTTCGCAATCTTAGTAAATAATAGTATAATAATAACTTAGTAAATAATAATATAAACAGTAGTGCACTTATTTGAAAGTCGTTTGACAAAAACTAGAATTTATATTTTACCCGCTTTTTAAAATAATTATTGTATTGTCGTTTTAAGTTAAGAGAAAGAAAAGTCCCAATAATGGCCCTACCAGATTAAAAATGAAGTTTTTTCGTCTGATGACCCGAAAAACATCTGATACGCCGAAGCTTAATTGTTCGGAAGAATCGCTTGAAATGTACCGCTTCTTACCAAGCAACACCGAATTATTGTATCGGTAGAGCCAATCACTATACATTTAAAACTTTTTCAATTAATTTTGAAATATTTTAATGCATAAAAATATGGAGCTGTTTAAAGTCTTCTTATTTTGATTATCCAGCCTTATTAAACAGTGTTTTGGCA